TACAATGAACAGGTCATGTCTTATGCATCAATCGGCGTTATGAAATGAAAAACATTTTATTTATCTTTCCCGGATATGAAAAGTTTCTATATTATCTATGTTAATATCATAAAAAAGATTAAATAAAAATATCGTTAAATAAGGCATTCTTTAAATATAAATACACACGCACGTACACACACACACACATGATGATGATAATAACGACACCGAAATCGTAATGATAAAAAATAAATTAGACTTGAATAACAATTAAATTAATAATTGCATATTTCAATAAATAAATAAACTAATTTAAACAAAAAATTTAAATCAACATTCTCACTCAGCGATAATACTAAAACAGACGTCACAAACGAAATTATAAATAAATTTGTACATTTTGTGTGCTTCTCTGTTAAATGCCTACACCAGATTTTTTAAAAATATTTTCATACAAATATTTATGAAAAAATTATGATACAAAAAAGTAAGTTATAGATTCATCACATCATCTTCTCATAACTAGTTACACCTCCGTGGAAATCTTCTAAAAAACAAAGACGAAGAACTTTTATGATCAGTGTTTTAATATTTGTTCTTCCAGAAAACAAAATTTTATTAATTTTTTTTATTAAATTTTCTATGAATGTTTTTGACGTCACTGATGACGCTGAGCGAGCGAGAGAGAGAAAGAGAGAGAGAAAGAGAGAGGGAGAGAGAAAAGAGAAAAAAAGAAGTGAGAGAAAGATAAGAGAAAAACAAGAGAGAGAGAGAAAGAGAAAGAGGGAAGAGAGAAAGAAGAGAGAGAGAGAGAGAGATTGGTTGGTTGGCTCGGTGACGTTATAGATTGCCTTCCCACGCGTCCTTCCTGCTCTTCAAATCTGCCTTCCTTTTTTCTATTTAGGGAAAGGAAACATTCGAAATTGAGGTGTCAAAAAAACGTTAAAGCAATTCTTTTTGAATTGAATTATTAATAACTAATTATTTATTAATTGATAATTAATTTACATTAACATCAATAATAATAATAATTATTATTATTATTATTGTTATTATTGGAAAAAACATTACCATTCAAAAACACTAAAAAATTTGCACATCTAAATTCAGACAAAAAATTTAACCAGAAAAAAAAACATTTATCATCGTCATCACAATGAGCTGCCTCATTAAAATCACCACAAAAACAATCACCAACCATCCCCATCATCCTCATAACCATCCCATCATCCTCATAACCACTCACCACTCACCACTACCTTACCCACCTCTGGCTTCTTGAATCTTCTTCTTCTCTTCCTCTCTTTTTTCCTTCGAAACATTCGTCCTAATGCCCAGAGCTCCGGCAACCAAATTCCTCACCACGTGCGTCACCGTCACAGGCCTCTCCTTGTATGGTAGGAGGAAGTCTGAAGACAGATGAAAAAAAAATTGGGTCAAAATTACTCACTGAATATTTGGGGCAGTAAAATTTTAGTACTCTACTAAAACAATACAATACAATACAGCACAACGAAATATAATACAAAACTAAAAACAAAAACAATACAATACAAAATACAATACAATACAAAACACAATACAATACAAAATACAATACAATACACAATACAACACACATAATTATACCCACCACTACATTTGCTGATTTTAACTTTCGTTTGTCGAGTTGCCTGATCTATGCACCTCAGTTTTATGATCGGATGATGGAAACTCGTCAAGGCAGTTGTGGCTTATAATTATGACAATTATGTTACACTCATGTTGATTTTATGTTAATTTATGCAAATTTAGGCAGAATAATAAGCAATCACTTACCGGTGGTTGAGCTATTAAAAATGGCAATGGCGTGTGTATCGTCCACCCATTTGATATCAAATCCCTGAGAACTGAAAGAATTAAGAACAATAAAATATACGCCAGTACTAATAATAAAAATAATGTAATGAATATAAAGAGAGAAAGAGAGAGAGAGAGAGAGAGAAAAGGAGAGAGAGAAAGAAAAAAAGGAGAGAAAGAGAGAGAAAGAGAAAGGAGAGAGGCCGGACACTGCTGTTGTTCAACTTCAAATCAAGTCGTTATTTTACTCCTATAATACGATAATAGTGATGAAGAATAGATCTAGTAATTATTATTATTACCATAAATAATTAGTATTTATATTAAATAATTAGTATTTATATTATAATATTATATTATTATTATTATTATTACGTTAGTTTTATTGCAATATCACGGAATTATTATCACATAACGATGCAACTGACTGAAACTTATTGAATGCCATCATGAGATCAGCAGTCGTTATCTCTCTACTGAAGTTGTATATCTCCAGTAAATGGCCGTACTCTGGTGAAATGGTTTTACAGAAAAAAAATACAAATAAATTATGAATAAATCAAGATAGTTGAAGAAATAAAATAACAAATTCAAATACAATTACGTTTTTGAAATGATAGAATAAGTGTTGTGAATTTAAATAATGAAATGAAATTAATAAAAATATGGATATTCAACGGTAAGTAATTCATCTTTATCACCAAGCCCGCAACATAACAACAATAATAAAGAAATAACGTATAAATAAAAATAATAAAAAATAATCAAAATACTGATATGAATAATTATAGGCAAACTTTGAAATGGCAAATTAATATCAGGAGGTACGAGCTCGAGATAGTTAATGGTTGACTTTTCGACTTTGACTGGCCCAACTTTGGAGAACAGCTGTTTATAAAATTATTATAAATAAATGTTAATTTTTATTATCTTTAAAATTAATTTAAAATGATAATTTTTAATTAAAATATTTAAATAAAAAGAATTAAGAAATTAAAATGAAAAAAAAAAACATGCCCACCTCTTCGAGAAGTGAAGGGTCAAGGGCATCTCCAGTGTCATCAAACTTAGAAAACCACGAATCGCCATCCTCATCATCACCACCACCCTTTCCGTCATCATCATTATCGGCACCTAACTTTGCATCGGTGCTATTATAATACTGGCCACTACTGATACTATTACTAATACTGCTGTTATAACTATCATCATAATCAGCAGCATTGTTAGAAGTATTAATATTAGTATTAACATCACTGAAGCTAGTATTGTACATTGAATTATTGTCGTCAGCATTATCAATGATGTCGTTTTTATTGTTGTAGGAGTACTGTTGATGCTGTTGTTGTTGTTGCTGGGATCCACTTTTAAATTCCACAACAGCAGAATCTTCAATCTGTAAGCGTGAAACATCATCAATATCGTTTCTGCTGTTGTGGTGACAATAAAGGCTAGAATGGTTACTAAAATTGTTGCCATCCATTCCATTATTAATGGCAACAACATTACTGAATTTATTGTGAGCGTTGACACTACTACATTCAGTATTAATACTATTTATGTGGTATAGACTGGGGTTAGTTTCTCCAGAAAAAATACTGTTTGTAACAGGAGTGAAATTCACAGCAACTCCACCACTGTCAGGAGAGCTGGGAGTGTTATTATTAAAACCTGAATTATAAAGAATGGCTGAATCATGAATGGATAGATCATTATCACTGTATCTGGATAGATTGTTTTTAATGATACTGCAACTGACGATACTAGAGTCGTTGAGTACGTTGGAGTTGGGCTGCTCATGTTGTTGTTGGAGCTGTTGTCTAGATGTTGTCATAGTTATAGTGTTGTTGAGATGGCTGTCAGAGTTGTAATGTTGAATATTTGCGATTTTGTTGCTATTGTTGTTGTTGTTGTTGAGATGTTTACCTAATGTTAATTCAGTTTTTTCATGTCTTTTCTTCGATTGCTGATTCAAGTTGTCATCACAATTAATATCAATACCGCGGTTATAAGTGTCATCAACTGGAAGAGTTAGACAGATTTCATTTGGAAATTTCAAACTAGACTTATCTACAAATTTGATTTCACTATTATCCTCTTCATTATCACCTCCTCCATTAATGAGTTCACATGAATGGGATTTGTTGATGTCTGATTGTTTGGGCTTACTAGAAAATTTTCTGTCTTCTGTCTTCTGCAAAGTTCTTTGTTGTGGTTCCTCACCAGATGAATTATCATTATTCTTTGGATGTCGATGTTTGTTGCTGATTTTGTTACAAATTTCTGGAATCGTTTGTTTGTAACTGTTTTCCTGGCTAACAATATTTTGTTGTCTTTGGTTGATTGGGACATAGAGAAGTCGATCTGGCTTTTTATTCTTTGGTTCCTTCGCTTTCTTCATTTTGGTTGTGGTTGGTCTGAAAGTGAATGAATGATAATTGAAAACTTTTGTTTTTAAGAGATTAAATAAACTATTCACTCAACGAGAATTAATAATAATAGACATTAATTACAACACTAAAATCCATTTAGGCACAGTATTACAAATAAAAGACAGCTTTAAATAATCTAGATACCATCGAAGTCCCAAGAAATTTAGTATCCTTATTTTTAATAAAAAAAAAAATCCTGAATAAAAATAAAAACACATCTTGAAAGAAAAACAACCCTTGGAAGTCATTCAATTGCTAGATTCACTCAATTTTACATTTGATTTTTTATGTGAAATAAAACTAAAAAGACGAGAAGACTAGCAAAATAGATAATTCAACTATTAAAAAAATTAATCATAGAACAAAAAAAATACTATACTACAGTTTGTTTGAATTTGAAGAAAATGTTATAGCAGTTCTCCTAGCATCCTTCTGCCCAAGAGAAAAACTCTTCAGTTCAGGATATTCATAGATTAGTTGATGAGTTAGGAACCTGAGACGACTATTTAGTGGAGGAAGTAGTAGAACCCTAGGAATAAGAAAGATGATAGAAAGACTCATTCAACATTTTTTATCTCTAGATGATTCATTAGATTAGATTAGGTTAATAATTAAAAGTTAATTAAATAGTTTAGTAAAATAATAATACAATTATAATTATTAAATTAAATTTTTTAAACTTGAAGCAAAATCTTATTTTTTCATTGACTTTACATTACATAAATTACTTCTTAATTAAAATTATAATTATTAAAAAGTTTAATATAAAAATATTTATGATTAAAATAAATAATGTTATGACATGATTAGTCTAAATAACTAATCATACTACTAACCTGATCTTTGATAAGCCTTAATAACTGATTGATTATAATAAATAAAATAATAATCTATTGACCAACCGACCCACCAACTGACCAACCAAAATAATGATAACCAGATTAAATTTCAATGTAGTAGTAATGCAATGATTCACTCACTTCATTCAACTTCAACCCAAACCCAACCAAACAGAAAAATTAAAAACGAACGACCAACTTAGCACAAGTAGAATCTTTACAGGAATGAACAAAATCATTCACATCCTTTGTCAGGTGTTCTAAAAATATATTATTTTCATAATCCAGATCGCAACGGTAAAACATTTAATGAAATTTTATTCGAAAAACGCTTTTTTCTCCTTGCAATAACAAACTAAAAGTAAATGTAAGTAAAAATAGGAATGGAAAATTTTTAAAAACTACCTTGAACGGCACAAACTACAATATGAAGATAATCGAAACTAATTTAAATTAGACATTAATTTTAAACAAACTTTGTTTTTTAAATATTTACTTTTTTACCTGTTTATATATATATATATATTTGCGCCATGGACATTTGAAACTACTTTTACAATGCAAGATAATGACGTCACCAAAGAATAGATAACCTACATCTTTATAAGACGTTGAGCGTTTAACAAAAAATGTTTATTCTGGAGAAATTTGAGATTGTACATTTGATATCAACGACTTATAATTTTTTAAAAACATTAAATAGTAACCATAAGATCATCAACTTGAACTATTGTAAAGAAATCGGTCTTGAAAAACTCATAAACAACACAATTATATAAAATGAATTATATGAAAAACACATTAAAACACTGAATGAGAAAAATATGCATAATATACTACTGATGATAAAAAATAATCCAGCTGATTTTATGTAATTATTGGAGAAAGTTGAGAAAATGAAGCGGCCGGACACATATTCACGTTGAGGCACTGAGATTCATAATGTTTCGGCAGGTCGGTTCTTGATAAACTGCTCAACACATCAACCCACCTACAAATTGAAACATATTTTTGCCATTATTTGTGTTAAAATTGAAAATAATAGTACTTTTAATACTGTTTAAATAAATTTAATTATTGGTTTCATAGTGTATCCTGGCTGTGCAACGCAGCAACTTTCTAGTATTTGAGTCCATTTAATAATTTATTTTTACATAGGAATTGAGCTATAGCACAGTGAAGCTTATTTTTATGATTGTTGGTTAACGCCGAAAAAAGCAAATTAAATAAATTAGGTTCAACCTTTCTAAGATATCATGATTTTCGACGAGGAAATAGTGTGGAGTGGATTGATCCTTATGCGTGATCACGAATATCTTACTTGCGTTTGCTCCACAATCGCTGACACCGCCACCACCACTGCCACTACCACCAAAGACAATACTGCTATTACTACTATTGATACTATTGCTGCTGCTGCTGCTACTTCCAATACTGCTACTACTGATACTGCCGATGGTGTTTTGTTGTGAAAGTCTTGAGGATATCGTGTAGCCAGGAATGGGTAGGGAGGAGAAGGATTTCACGTCCTAATGAGGAAGCAATATTAATCTCATTAACATATTTTTTGACGTCATCATCTTCGTCGTTGTTGTCATCATCGCCATCGCTATCATTATCACCATCATCACAATCATCATCACAATTGTCATCATCATAATTGTCATCATCACCATCACAATCATCATCACAATCGTCATCATCGTAATATAGATCACCAAAACTGCAATTATGATCACCATTCCAATCATTGTATAATAGTTATAAAATCGCAAAGAATAATAGTAATATAATAATAATAATAATAAAACAACAGCAGTAACAATAACCTTGTGGGCCTTAAATGCATAGAGAACGAAATCCGAGCAGACGATAAAATAATAATTTTGCCAGTTTTTAAGGTCACACGATGTTTTCATGTAGCCACACATTATGTGCTTGTCTTTCGCTTTCGTCTGAATGTTGATGACGACGTCGATGATGATGTTGATGATGTTGTTGGTGATGATGGTGAATATGCTAGTGGTGATGGTGTATATGTTGGTGATGATAGTGAATATGCTAGTGGTGATGGTGTATATGTTGGTGATGATAGTGAATATGCTAGTGGTGATGGTGTATATGTTGGTGATGATAGTGAATATGTTAGTGGTGATGGTGTATATGTTGGTGATGATGATGATGACGACGGTGGTGATGATGATAGTTCTGACATCGAGAAAACATTATGATGATGATTGAAAAATGTTGATAAATTAAAAAGTGCATATACATAATAAACGAAACTAACGCCAGAACTACTTAAACATTTGATAAATTTTTGTTTGCCGTTCATACTGTTCACAAGTTCATCGTTCGCAGTGTTCTTCTGTTGGAAGCATGTGAAACAACTATCACAGACACGACATTTTTTTCCGTACGTGTATTCAAGTTCAACGCGATTCACCGAACATTTTCCGCATACGATCTGTTTGTGTGTTTGTATATATGTATATATGTATGTATGTATGTATGTATGTATGTATGTATGTATGTATGTATGTATGTATGTATGTATGATGTGTGTGTTTGTGTTTATGCGGGTGTGTTTGGCTTTGCGCGTTTGTGTTATTTATGTTCCACACACGCACCAAAAACACACACACACACGCACACACTTACATGACCACAGGAACGACAGTGTTTCTTCCTATTGAAGATGTTGAAACCCTCGGCGCATCTCATACACATGCTAACTTCACTGTCCTTGACCCACTGCGGAGCACGTCTGCCTAACTCGTCAGTCGGCAACTGGTTAGTGCAATGGCGTAGGTGGCCAGTTTAAATAAAAATTTGTTTAAAATATTTTAAAATAAATTTATAATCGTTGTTATCATTCTCGACATTTAGAACCTTGTGCAAGCTGCAACCTATAAACTTTATCATCATTGTCATCATCATTATTATCATCAACATCTTCATTATCATCATCAACATCTTTTTCATCATCGTATTTTACCATTCCCACCATCTTCAATTCCACACCAGTAAACATCATAATCATCATCTGCTTGAATAAAAATACGCACCTGATAATGATCTGATGACGACATATTTGATTGTGGCGATGACGTTTTTGTTGCCACCGATGGTGAAGCGCTGCTTTTTTGGCAGGATTCAATGGCAGTGTTGAAAGCCTGGGAACAAAGTATGGATTGGCTTATTGAATGGGAAAAACTGAAAGCTTATGAAGACAAACATTTGAACGAAATAAACAGAGGCAGAAAATAAAATGAACAAATTTGAACGTAAAAATGTAAATGAAATAAATTAATAAGGTGAATATATACATAATTGAACAAACACAAACATAGATATAATAGAACAAACACAAACATAGATATAATAGAACAAACACAAACAAATTCAAAATAAAAAGTAAATACTTCGATCCATTTTGCTTTTTCGGAAGGTGAGCTGAAAAAAAACAACTAAAATTTGATCTCCAACTATTATAAAATTAGTTAATAATTAAAAATTATGACGTGTGGCGTGATAGCTCAATGGTGAAATGCCCGCGTCGCACTGACCGGGTTCGAATACAAGACAATCCTCGTCACTCATAAGCATGATTAAAAGAGAATATTGAAGTTGAACATCGAGTTGATTGTTCTGTATACATAATGTTGGTCGATTGATTATTATCATCATCATCGTCATCATCACCATCAATGTTGTCGTCTTCGTTATCATCATCATCACCTGGCAAGTAGTTCAATATTTTTATCAATGGTACTCAAATAGAAGGTTCCAGGAATCAAGAGGTTGTGAGCATCTTCAACTATCTGGTTGTGATGATGGTGATGATGATGCCAGTGGTGATGATGATGATGATGATGTTTGTGGCGATGATGATGCTGGTGGCGATGATGATGAAAATGTCTGCGGCGATGATGATGCTCATATTATTGCTGCTGATAATGATGATAACGACGAACGTGATGACGATGATGATGACGATACCAAACAGCACAAGATACAAAAAAAAACACAAAATACTTTAAGATCAGCCAGGTTGATTCTTCTCTTCAATGAGTACATTTCCCTGCTACTTAGTGTACTCAACTTGGCCGGCTGGCAGACAAGTAACATGTCGTTGAACTGCAGATGATGATGATGGCGATGATAATAATAAAATAATAATAATAATAATAATAATAATAATAATAATAATGATAAGAATATTACAACAACAGCTACTACTACTAATACTACTACTACTACTACTACTGCTACTACTACAACAACAACTACTACTACTGTTGTTACTACTACTACTGCTGCCACTACTACTACGACTTCTACTAATAATAACATCATATCATCGTTATCATCATCATCATCACATCATCGTTATCATCATCATCGTCGTCATCATCATCATCATCATCATCGTCACCTACTCACCAGAAATAGATATCTCTTGGCGGCGAGACCAGTGGAATGGTGGATCCTCATCATCACCCCCTCCCTTATGAACCTCCTGTTCGGTGTGATGACGTCACTGATCATGTGACCCAGGCGCTTGTTTATGTTTATCAACTGTCTGAATATCTCCTGATGATGATGATAATGGTGATGATGATGGCTGTGATGATATTGATGGTGATGGCTCTGATGATGATGGTGATGGCTCTGATGATGATTACGATTATGATGATGATGGCTGTAATGATGATCTTGATGATAATGGACATCCCGGTCATTCGGTCGGTCAGTCAGTCATTCAGTCAAATGGTCAATCGGTCAACCAACCAACCAATTAAACAACCGACCAGCCAGCCAACCAGCCAACCAACCATACAACCAACCAACCAACCATACAACCAACCAACCAACCAACCAACCAATCAGTCAGTCAATCTAGAGACATTGACTTACCACTTTTCTAAGAGTTTCATTTGAATGAGAAACTGCTTTTGAGACGAGATCGTAAGCGCCTGCTCGTGTTAAATTAGGATGATAATAATAATTTAAAGATGATTATATAAATGATGATGATGAAGTAATAACAATAATGATTGTGAAATCTAAATGATAGTGGTAAAGTTAGAGATAAAGTGATGACGACGACGAAGATGAATAGAAATTTATTTCACTCACATTGAATGTCCTCTTTATCTTGTGAGTCGTTGGTCATATGCTTCATGTACTCTGTTTCATGTTCAGAAGAGGGTTTATGTTCAGAAATTAAACCACCCTCAATACACACGATCACACAAGCATGAGGTTACATTTCGCATAAAGTTTTGTTAAAAAATCTTATAAGTTTGATAAGTTTAAACGCTTTAAAGAAGAAAGACAAACAGAAATAGAGAAATTGATAGATAGAGAGAAAGAGAGAAAAGGAGAGAGTAAATAAGATGTATGGGTGTTTTTGTGTTCATGCAGTTGCATCAAAGGATTGTTAAATTAAAAAAAATTCTTCTCTATAAAACTGAAAACTATTAAGAATGTTTACGAGATCTTCAAAAAGCAATTTCATTAAGAACTTTCACATGTTAAGTAATTAGTAAAGTTAGGCGATGTTCAAGTTAACGTTTAAATAAACCACAAAACAACTAACAACCAGTTGAAACGTGAACAAAATTTTGAAATGAGCACCAACTGCGTTAGAGAGTTATAAAAAATTAAACGTTGAATGAATCGTGTAGTTAGAAATAAACATTTGATTGCACGATTGACATGTTGACAACCTTTGAGAAGCATTAGATACTTGGGAACTCTCTGCACTGGCTCCAGCAGGTGATGCTTTAGCTCCATTTTGCCGCATTCTGGAAGTTTCTGCAACGATACAGATTAACATTACCGACGATGCGTTGCTGTTGTAATGAGATCTCTGTGATGGCCCAGTGACTCTTGTGCAAACTCCTTTCGTTTCTTGCAGTCAATAGGTTTGAATGCAAGAGATTTCCGCTGATAATGCAACAGCGGGACCAGGCGTTTTAACCATTACACAGTGACGCAACCCAAAATAAAATTTAAAAAAATAACCTGAAGCTGCTCTACCAGATTTGAGAATTCTCGCGACCTATCCAACCAATATTCGAGTAAGCTGGTTGCGTTTGCGTAGTTCTGAATGTACTGCGTGTAGAGTTTGAGGAAGGGGGCGAACTTCTTCATGATGTCGCCGATCTTTGGAGTGCTGTCCCTGGTGGCAGTAGGCGGTTCAAATCGTGGTGAGAATTTTCAGATGGAGATGTTTGTTAAATAAAACAAATTTGTATCGTCAACATTCCGAATTTCAACTTTACGTTATGGGCAACAACAAATAATGAATGACAACCGCAGTTGGAATTCAAACAAACAACACAAACATACTAAACTCAATGCAACAAATTTGAAAAATATAAAAAAATAAGAAAAACAAAACAAACAAAAAAGAGCAGAAAAAAATAGAGCCCCACCATTCAGCCAGCCTGCTGTTGAGTTGTGGCAGCAGGTCGTCCCGGTGTAGCTGGTAGATGCTTTCCACGTTCGAGAAGATCTGAATGGGTACCTCGTGGGCGAACATCTTCGCACCTTTGTTTCGCCGCCGGATTTCATGGTGGAATATCTGGTGAATGTGAATTAGGAATGGATGCATTATAACGATGAATGGATGGATGGATGAATTGGATGGATAAATATATGAATGATTAAACGAATGAATGAATGGCCAAATTTATGAAAACATTCATTTTAATTTATGGGTTATTTATGATTTCCATGTTAAAACCTCTTATTTGAAATTTTGCAAAATATTGCTTTTTTTGGGTGGTTGCAACAATTTTAAACTAAAATTTATAAAATTGGCAAAAAGATTTATGTGTGTGCATGCGTGTGCGTTTGTGTGTGTGCGCGCGCGTGTGCGTGTGTGAGTAATTAAAGTAATAACAAATAATTACCTAGCCTAACCTAAACTACACAAACAAAAAAACAAAAACTAAAAGTGATTTACAATGGCGTAGCGACACAACAGTTGCACAGACACACTCGCACACTGTTTTCGTACACGAGTTCCTATACAAATATGCACACGTGCGATTTATACAAACAAATAAATTGTGTTTAAGTAAACTGAAGCACACCCATACAAAAATTTGATGAAATTTGATATTCAACTTTGGATATTTGGCCATTTTTTAAGACCAAACAGCCGAAAATTGCAAAATCTGTTTAAACAATCACTTTTTTGAATTCCAGGACACAATTTTTCTATTATTATAAGCAGAAAATTTAATTCGGTGACCATAAATACTCCAGTTATAACCTTAGAAGTTTCTTTTTTTCAAAACCGTCGGTTTTTTTATTCGGTGAACCGCTTCGACTGAATATTTGACCAACTATTCAACTATCCCACCCTTGGTTGAATTCACTATTTGATGATCATACACACACATACAAATGCATTAGCACTTACAAATAGAGGCACATACAGACACACACCTCAACTTACATTATATGTACATTTTTATACGCACATTGTACATAGAAGCTTTTATACATATCTAAAAACGCGTACACGTTCACAATCATACAATTGCACACATACAAATGTACATACACACACACACACACACATTCACACAATCTTGATTGTACGTAAGTGAAGAGGGCAAAAAATTATCACGATAATGTATAATTAAATAGGTCATGGAAGTGTTCGCTTGTTATGTAGGTCAAAAATTGATGGACGGACGCAGGAAGAAAAGATGGATGGATGGATGGATGGATGGATGGATGGATGGATGGATGGGTAATGAATGAATGAATGGAACGTTGGACGAATTCATAGTTACCAAAATAATGTTTTTCTAATGAGTGCATAATGTTTTTTTTATTCTGATTTATCTTCTCTTCACCATCATCATCACTAACATTATTGTTGCCATCATCAACATAATCATCATCTTCATCATCATCAACGTCATCATCAACGTCATCATCATCATCATCATCATCATCGTCATCACGAACGAACGCGTCAGTAATTTCTACCAAACTCAATATTCACGAGTTTCACTTTCGATTGCAGTTAAGATAGGGTTTTTTCCGTAATTGCCCTCTGTGCTATAAATAACATGTAAGTAAATTTCTAATTACGTTAATTAGAAATTTAGAAGTCTGCGCCTGAGTTGAGAGCCCACTTTGATTAAGCAGTTTTGAGTTTACTAACACGCTTCAGACAAAAATTACACATACATAGTAATTTACCGTAAGACGTATTTACAATCGTAATCGTCGTCGTCATCATCATCGCCGTCTAGGTCATCTTCATCTTCGTCGTCGTCACCACCTTCTTCTTCTTCTTCACCATCATCTTTTTCATCAAACCTATTTGATTATCTCCGCCATTAACACATTAAAAAACACATTCCCCACTTTTGAAAGACTAATTGTTCGGCTCATATGTGAGATGTCGAAACCTTGTTCTGAAAATTTCGCCAGTGTCTAAATTAAGTTTGGAAATTAATTTTTGCCCTTGCATTTGAAGTGAGTGCGTTCAGCAAATATAAGTTATCAACTTCTAAATTAGTAGCTGTGTATGGTGAGATGAAATTTTTATTTAAATTTAGTAACATAGGTTAACTTATTGTAGACACATCTAACAGACACAACGATAAAATCAACCGTAAACAACAACAACAACATGAGTATAAACTGGGAAAAAAACCCATAACAATCTAACAGTATTGGTAGATAAAGTATCTGGCTAGACCAAGAGCCAGACAACTAGCCAGAAAACCAGCCAGACAACCAGCCAGACAACCAGCCAGACAACTAGCCAGACAACCAGCCAGACAACCAGCTACTCACATATAATCAGACAACACTAACTTGGTCAATAAGATGCAATCTCCTAACATAGGCCTTTTCACTTTCCAGCAACTCTTTAGCAACTCTGTAGAGCCTTCCCTCCGATTCCTTTTTAACGTTATTATTGTCATAATCGTTATTGTTATTATTGTTGTTATTATTATTGTTATTATTATTGTTGTTGTTATTGTTGTTACTGTAATTATTGTTGTTGTCTTTGTCGTAAGCATTGTTGCCGTAATTAATGCCGTCGTAACTAGCAAAGTTGAAATCATGGCCGTCTAAAAAATACAAGCTATCGTTGAAAATGCTCAAATGCTTCAGCTTATTCGTGTCGCTGTTGTTGTTGTTATTATTACTATTGTTGTTGTCGTTGTTGTTGTCGTCGTCGTCGTTGTTGTTGTTGTATTTGTTTCGCTTGATGACGTTGTTGATATCATAGCTATCTGAATTTTTGTTGATGTGACCAATAAATTCATCATCATTATTATTATTACTGTTGTTACTGTTATTATAATTATTGTTGTTTTCGTTGCTCTTGTTGTTGTTGTTGTTTTTTTTGCCGTGTATTCTCATTGATTGGTCACTAGAGCAAGACGAGCCCTATGATTTTTGCATATTAAAAAAAAATTATTTGCGATAAATTCATAAAAACAGTGAAATAATTAAAATTCTTCTTCATCATCATCACCAACATCATCATTGTCATCGTCATTATTGTCATCATCATCATCATCATCACCATCATCACCATCACCACCACCACCACCACCACCATCATCATCATCATCATCATCATCATCATCTAACCTGTTGATCTGATGATGATAACGAACTTCTTGGACTTGCGCTCTCTTCATCGGAAAAATATTCGCCATCATCATCACCATTAACAATTTTTTCATCATCATTTTCATCATCATCATCATCACCACCACCACCACCATCATCACCATCATCATCATCATCACTACCATCGCCCTTGTTAGCTTGAATATTGCCATTCATAATTACACTATTATCATTACCATCATCTTCGTCATCATCATCATCATCAAGAGGGCGATTTTTATTATTTATAATTATATTATTACCTTTTACTCCTCCATTTTTGCCATAATTATTATAATTATTATCGTTAATAATTCTATCATCACCACCATCATCATCATCGTCATCATCGTCGTTGTCATCATTATCTCCGTTAGCAGAAACCATGCTATTAATATTGTTATTATTAATATTAATATTATTAATATTATTATTATCATTATTATTATTATTATTATTATCATTGTCATTATTATTATTATTATTAATATTATTATTATTACTAATATTATCAGCATCATCATCATTACCTCCATCAGTTTTATCAGAAACATTGCCATCAATTTCATCATCGTTATTATAACTATTATCATTATTATAATAATTATTATTATAATTGTTATAATTATTATTATTATAAGCACAATCATCACCGCTATAATTTGTATCATCATAAATGATTATTTCAACATCATTATTATCATCATCATCTTTTTCATCGTTATCATCGTCATCTTCTTCTTCTTCTTCATTCTTCTCAAGAACAAAAGTAGTCCCGTTATAATTATTATCATCCGTTACTACGTAATCAGCTGCGTTAACATTATTATCTTATCATCATCAGCGTCGTCGTCATCAACTTTTATTTGTTGTTGTTGTTGATGATGTTGTTGTTGATGCTGCTGTTGTTGATGTTGTTTATGATGTTGTTGTTGTTGATGATGATGTTGTTGATGTTGAAGTGACTGTGCATAATGTGATCGATCCATGTTATTGTTGTTTATAAGTCGTTGAACATTTTGTTCTATGTGATGACGTATTGGAATTTGCGATTCATGTTGTTGTTGTTGCTGTTGTTGTTGTGGTTGTTGCTGTTGTTGTTGTTGTTGCTGCTGTTGATATAAATGTACTTGCCGATGTTGTAGTTTTTGACACGGAGTTGAATTAAGTGATATGCTTGGCGTCCGACTATTCGCATGTCCCATACTCGAAGCAACAGCTATCGATTCGACCGATACCGATTTTGCTGGCACGACTTTTTCAAATACTGTCACACTGGGCAGCAGCTTGTTTGAAGCCATTTTTCTCGATACTAAGTTTTCATTCATCGACTCGTTTGTTATCGATTCAGTCGATACCGACGACTTTTTCAAAACCGATTCCGTTGACATCAATTTGGTAGGTTTCGATACCGATTCATAA